AAAAAATCTAGATTTGAAGAATCCTAATTTTGAACACCCTTTATATCTGTGATCTTTTCTGCTAGACCTCAAGTGTGGAGTATTTATGAAATCAGATATCCAGGAAGAATCAGAGAACGCAATGATATACAGGGTGTCCCTTAGAAAAATTGCAACTCTGCATTTTGTATTTTTGGCACACCCAGTACAACGAAAGAAACTTCGGCATGTAGTGCTGATAAGTCCCTCATCTTTCGGTGATAAAACTGTCAAAGAACCGAATTCTTCATCCACAATGCTTCGTGTCGAATAACCCTGTGTAATAGAATATAAACTGGTCAACATTGATAACGTCGTGGTCCAAAATATAGCCTGAATTCAAAATAGAATAACTCAGGAATTTCCTTACCAATTTGAAATCGGTTTTCACCGATGATTAGCCTAATCTCTTGACAGTTTGTTGTGGCAATATGAAACTTCTTAAATTTCAGATAACATTGCTACAGGGTGATAATTGAATGGGTATGAAATTGCATCGTGGTCGTCACCTTACTGTTTGAACAGATAATTTTTTCTATCTCCCTTCTCACCTGTATTCTCTTGATTGATGCTTTTTCTCGGAAAATTATCGAAATTTTCAAATTGAGAGCTTTGATAATCGTGTTATGAATATTCATTCAAAATGATGCATTTTTCGACGATTAATTGAATGAAATTGGAAGTTGGAATTCTTTTCCGAAGAATTAACGTTGTATGTGAAGTCGTCAGATATGTGATTGTGTTCGAACACAGAAAATTCTAAAGGAGTCTATACAAAGTGATACAAGAAATACTGAATGATGGAATGAAGGATAACGTAGTCTTCAGTAGATGGAACATAATTTTCCCTGTGTTACTAGTAGAATACCTCGAAATGGTTTGGTAATTTTTCGGATCAAAGGTCATATAATGAAGGTACGCATTTTTAATCAAAATGATGCACACCACGATGCAATTTTACGCCTATTGAATTATCACCCTGTAGCAATGTTATCTGAGATTACAAAAAATGCATATTGCCACAACAAACTGTCAAGAGATTGGGCTAATTATTGGTGGAAACCGATTTGAAATTGGTAAGGAAATTCGTGAGTTATTCTATTTTGAATTCAGGCTATATTTTTGGACCACAACGTTATCAATGTTGGCCAGTTTAGTTCATTAGGTCGTCAATGCCGTATACGTTATTTTATCGTACCATGACGTCACTTTCACTTTTCCTACATAGCGAAGAAGATTTGAGGAGGAAAAGTACGACTCTGTACGCTTCTTTCAATTTCCACAAAATGTCTGTGATTGCTGACAAAACTATTCAATCCTAGTAGCTCCATCATGCTACTAACTCTCAATCACTAATTATTGACAAAAAAAGGATTTTTACGCTATCGGGAGTGGTAGTTAGTTCCTCTGAAAACAAAAGAGGGACAGAAGTCTTGTATTATTCCCTGGGGAAATAATGTGACACAATTTCTGCATAGTTCTGTGCTTTCTTTTCGGAACACCCTTCTCTGAAGCGAGTATAAGCTGCATCATACAGATTTCTAGATCTCACTGGTAGCAAGTAGAGAATCATTGCGTAAGCAGTATTTATTTATTTATTTATTTATTTATTTATTATTATCCATACAGATTTTACAACCTAATTACATGGATAATTGAACATAAAAATAACATATTTCAAACAAAAAATTAATAGTAATGATGCCTATACTTACAATAAACATATAGGTATTAGAAATGAAATTTTAATATACGCAGTGAGTACAATCAATGAATCCAGGATTGATTGGCCTACGAGATTTATACTTTCTATCTAATAATTAGTAGATTGCTAAATAAATTGATAAATGGAGCTTCCTCAAATTGATAAAGCTAGAATGTGCTTTAGTATTGCCGTTCTATAGGTTTTTTGTGAGTTAGTCCAATCGATATTTATAAAGACATTATATTCGTTTACCAGCCGAAACATGGATACAAGAGGAGATCTGGCGGAGGCTGCTGTGGCTACCAGTGGAATGTAAAACATTACAGATGATCGGGTTCTTCTAGGAGGAACATAAAATCGTATTAATGACAGAATTTCTGGGGAGTTGATTTTATTATTAATAATTTTATGCAGAAAGGTTAAAAGACACAATTTTCGGCGATTCTCTAGCGATAGAACTTTAAACTCGTTTCGCAGATGCGAGGATCTGACTATACGATAGTCGGGGTAAATATGATGTTTTTTAAAGTATAGGTAACGCAGAAATTTATTTTGAACCTTCTCCAATTGACCTAACGCTGCTTGACATTCGCCGAACCAAACCAGGGAGCCAAATTCCAATTTACTTCTGATTAAACTGTAATATAAAAGTTTCAATGTATTCAAATTTTTGAAGTTATGTGCTTGCCTGATTATAAATCCTAATAGACGTCCAGCCGATTTGATTACATTCTTTATATGCCTGTTGAATGAGAAAAAGTGGTCATAGACTACACCAAGATCTTTAACTTCTGTGGATCTTGTCAACGCTTCATCAGTTAATCTGTATTCAAAGAGAATTGGGTCCTTTTGACGAGTTATGGACAAAACGCAGCATTTACTAACGTTTAAGTTCAGTTTGTTTATCCTACACCACTTTTTCAGCTCATCTATATCTCTTTGTAACCTCACAGAGTCTCTTACCGTCTGGATGCGCTTGAATATTTTCAAGTCATCTGCAAACATAAGACACTCTGATGACTTGAATAGAGCTGGTAGGTCGTTGATGAATATAATGAAGAAAAGAGGCCCCAGGTTTGACCCCTGAGGAACTCCAGATAGTGCCGCGATTTTATCTGAGAATATTCCATTATGTTTTACCATTAGATATCTGCTTTCTAAATAGCTCCTGATCAATCTCAAAATAGTATCAGACAATCCAAATCTACTCAATTTATATAATAATACATCATGATCTACTTGATCAAACGCTTTTTGGAAATCGGTGTATATAATATCTGTCTGAGACTTAGACTCCAATGTTTCATAAACGTGGTTAGCAAAGGTGAAAAGATTTGTATTAACAGATCTACTGAGAACAAAGCCGTGCTGTTGTGATGAAATATATTTCTCAGTATAATTATATAATGCTGAATAAATAATCTGTTCGAATAGTTTGGCTGGCGCACACATTATAGACACTGGTCTATAATTCTCTACATTCAATTTATTACCACTTTTGAAAATTGGGGTTACGATCCCAGTTTTCCACTTAGTAGGAAATATTGCAGATGATAGAATAAGATTGAAAATATGTATCAGCGGCCTTTTCAAATAGACACTGCAAGCTTTAAGTACATATGGAGGCATACCATCCACCCCAGCTGACTTTTTTGGTTTCAACTTCTTTACTGCATTATTATAGTCTACTTCAGTTACCATATCTAGTTTGAAATTTTCATTACAAATATCCGTGTCAGTAATGAAATTTAAATTGTAAGTTGCTCTATCATTATTAAATACAGAGGCAAAGAAATTAGCGAATGCATCTGCAGTATTTTCCTCTGTAACCGGATTGCCATTGAAGACAAGCGATCTCGAGTCATTATCATTACTTTTCGTCTGATTTACATAATTCCAGAATTGGTTTATGTCCCCGCTTAAACCCTCTTCTATTCTTTTTATATAGTTACTTTCTTCCAATTTGATTAATGCCTTCAGTTTCTTTCTCAGTTCTTTAAACTTATCTTCATAATAATCACACACCCTTCTCAACCTCTTATACTTACTCTTTTCTTTAAGCAGATCTTTAATTTCTTTCGTGAACCAAGGTGGAAATTTACTGCAGCCATCATATTGAACATATTTTGGTACATGAATTTCGACTATGTTATTCCAAATTTTATAAAATTTGTCAACCGCTATATTAATATCATCTTTTTCATTGAGAACGCTTTCCCAATTACAGTCCCTAACGGCATAGCTAAATCTAAGGAAATCCGTTTTTTTGTAGTTGTAAATGTAGTTACCTAATTTGCGTTTAGTTGGTTTCGATATTGAGTCAGTTGCAATAGTGACGTCTAAGGCAGGATGGTACACATCTTCAGTAACAAATGGTAGACATTCTTTTTTTACGTTAATGTTGTTAAGATTGTTATCCGAACTAATTATCAAATCCAAAGTTCTTCCTTGAAAATTCTTTATATCATTATCCAATTTAAAATTATTAAAATTGATGAAATTATTGAAAGTGTCCAGAATATTACTATTCGTTATATTATCGTAATTGATTCCTGTAATTTGTCTTATATTGAAGTCCCCAAAAATGTATACATTGTCGTTACTATTACCTATTTGCTGTTGTAGAAATTCATAAGCTGATTCATATATATTTTCTGCACTTCCGGGAGGAATATATAGGGTACTAATTGTATATTTACTGTCACCTATCTTAATTTTTGCAGCGACTGCCTCGAAAGAGGTAGAATTTCTGACAAAACTCAATAATTTATACCTTTTGTTTATCGCTAGCAGAACCCCTCCACCTGTACTTTTTTGTGTGAATTGTAGATCACGATCCGCCCTTAATAAACTAAATTTATTAATATCCAAAACCTCTCCATCATAGACTCCCTCCTGCAACCATGTCTCAACTGCAATAATAATGTCAAAATCAGTCTCTAAACTGGCCCTAAAAAAATTTTTACATTTCGTATTCAATCCTCGACAATTTTGATAATACACACTGAGAGTGCGAGTCATTTCTGCAAACTGATATGAGCTCCCGACAAAAGTAAATTTCCAACATCCTAATATTTTTGCTGACATAAATTTTCAGTACATGGTAGGTACCTACTTGAGTAATTATTTTAAATTCATGAATAAATCGAGACAAGTTTTTTATTGAAGAAAAAAAAGAGAGATAATTCCGTATGCAAAATCGATATAGAAAACAAAAAAAGAAAAAAGCAAAATGAAACCATTCATTCATGTGAAGTTTTTTCCTACATCACCTATTCTAGACCAAGTCCATCTCATCTTTTATAGACACAACAGCGTTGTCACGTCTCACAAAGATTTTTCCATTTCTGGACCAAGCAGATGAACGCCCATACTTTTCTTTCGCAATTTTCAATAGGTGATAAGCTTTATCCGTTAGATTCTCATTGATGAAGACTTTGGAATTCTTGAGAGATGTCCTTGCAGCATACACCTCATTTTTCTTCAACAAGGAAACAAAAACAACAACGATTGTCCTTGACCTGTTCTCATTCCGTTTTCCAATTCTATGTACGTTATAGATATCTGCTGGACTACACTTGATTTTCATAGCATCAACGAAGACGCTCAAAACTTTCGACAGTAAATTATCGTTGGAATCCTCTTTTATACCTATTATGGTCAGTGAATTTTCCCTCGAGTGCTGTTGAATCCAATCCATTTTCAAATTCAGTTTTTCCATACCCTTCCTATTATTTTCAGTATCTTCAGTTAATCCTTCAAGTTTACTGACAACTCCACTTAATTTACCGTCAATACTATCGAACTTTTTGCCAATTGCATCTATCCGTTCATTGTTACTTGCCTCCATAGCACAAATTTTCTTGCCAAGTTTATCAATTTGATCCTCAATCTTTGTTGTAATTTTAGATGTCATTTTACTGATTATGGTTTCCAATGCATTTTCATCTAACAAACCACTAGCACTGTTACTTCTAGTCGTTTTGTGTTGACTCATTTCTACGTCGTGGAGTAATGTTTGGCAACAGCGCGTTAGATATTTTTTGGGTTTTTCTCCTTTCTGCACAATAAACTAAAGTACCTATGCAGGAATTTTCCTAATAGGCAGATAATCCAACAGGTTCACTTTAGTAGAAACTTGTACCAACAAAAAACCAATTTAAAATCGCAAAACACCACAAAATTTCAAAAATTAAAAGGAGCTCACAACCTACGCTGTTTACAGTAGCATAGTCGACACCAATATGACACCAGTATCAATAGTTCCTCGGGGTTTCTCCTCGATTTCTTGTTACATAACAGTAGTGATACAATGTATGTTCTGCCTCAACATTTTTGAGGCAGAACATACGTATGTTCTGCCTCAACTTAGTTCGGTCTAGTCTTAGGTGAGGCAGAACATACGTATGTTCAGCCTCAGCGATTTTTCTGTGTTATCGATCTCGTTGAGATGGCTATATGGTGGTTGGGAAGGTAGAAGGTGGTTGAACACCCCACGTAATCCAGAGGGGTATATTATTTGTTTGAAAAAAATTTTTTTGTCACATCCACACGACTCTATCATCATATGTGTGAAGACCTCCCACAAGACTAACCCTGTGATGTATATCTAGTTGGTAATGTAACATGTAATAATAAGAGTGAATATATTTTTCTACTTACATCAGTGGTTCGAACAAGTGGTTTAGTGGTTTGAACAAGTGGTTTAGTGGTTCGAACAAGTGGTTTAGTGGTTTGAACAAGTGGTTTAGTGGTTCGAACAAGTGGTTTAGTGGTTAGAAGAAGTGGTTTAGTGGTTCAGTAGTTCGAACAAGATGTTCCATTGAGAGGTTAGACCGATTGATCACAATCATTGGTGGAATCGTCAGATTTTTCAATCGCTATGATGGCGGTTGGTGTTTTGGTGTTTACAATTACAAAACAATTTGGTATCAGTATTTTATCTAACACACTCATATCATAGAGTGACTGCGTGAGAGAGAAAGAGAGAGAGAGATATTATATACATTTATTGATATCTATATGTATAAAAATATATGATTTTGAATAACATCACGATGGAGATTCCGGCATTTCTTCCAAACAAAATAAATCAAGATAATTATCCCTCCTATTAGCTGTATGCCAATAGATGCTGTTGATACAGAAACAAAACATTTGATTGCAGTCTGGGCAATACTGGGTATTAAGCGGTGTGTCAATTGACATCAGGTCATCAATATCAGCTTCAGCACTAAAATAATGAGAATGAGATATCAGAATGGTGTCTGAACCATAATATAATAACATACATGAGAGCTGAATTATTTGCAACATCTACATTATCGAAATCAACACCAACACTGGAATAATGGAGAATATGAATTAGGTATGAGAGATGATAATTATTATTTCATACCAGATTGAATGGTTGTCCGGAAAATCCAAAATATCGTCAATGTCGTTTCTACAAAGTCATAATTATATTTAAATGATAATAGTGATTTATCGAAACTTACATAATATCTACAGGAATTGCGATATTTGCCACAAAGTCATAATCATTAGTATTCTCACCATCACTTCTGAAAAATTATCTCAACAATGAAAATTCGTTAGTATAATAGTTATTTTGAACTCACATATTCATTGGGCTCGCCGGTAAGTCGATAGCGCTATGAAAATATATGTGGAGATTAGCAAACAAAATATTCAGTACTAACCATACTCACTTCTCTCTCAAATAAGCATCCCTATCGATGGGGGGGTGTATAGCGATTGGTGGCACGAAAAAAATTATCGAACTCCCTGATGTCTACCACTCTGGCAACATTCAAACAATGAACACTATCGGCTGATGAAACACCTGATGATGATGACATTTTGCTGCTTGTTTAAAGTATGCTTGAGATGATAATAATGTGAATCCAGAATGAAACTAACAATTTTCGTACAGGAAAATTTATGATTTGAAAAAGCCGGTATTCTGATCAATATTCCATGATAATTATTTATTATAGTGTCAATAGTTCCTGTTGATGAATGTCGATTTCCTGTGATAACAAATGCACTTGTTTATAGTTTCTCATCAAAGTTTCTATGATAGTAATTAATTCCAAGGTTTTCCAAAAAAATTATAAGCATCCGGTGATATGGATTCGTTACACAGTTTGCATTTCCTGCAAACTAAGATAAGATTCCTACTGAGTTTTTTAAATCTCTTAGGTTCTGAGAACGGTATAATGAGAATTTCTGATTGGTTGGAATGAGCGGCTGATCGAGTATAAATACCGGTTGAATATTTCAATTCGATTATTGTTCGATTCGAATCAGACAACTAAATTTCACCAGTGTCAGCAGTGCCGTCAATAGAAATAAAAAGTGAGTATTTATTTCTTGATATTGAATTATTTCTATTTATGTTTTCATCCTCGTTCATTGAACCTAATTTCGAAGAGGAAATTTGATTGCTATCAATTCATTTATCTTTTGTGCTAGAATTTCCATCTGTAGAATTTTTACTGGTTTCTAAATCCCCACTATTTTTCTATACATCAGAGTATCATGTATTTTTATTATTCCAGTAATGGATCTATCGAAAATTAACAATGTTGCCCTGCTGAACAGGAAGGACTCCATCAGAATCAGCGAGCTACCTAAAGATGTTGCCGTGGCGATAAACGCAGCCCGAATTGTCACAACTAAATTTGGGGAGGCGGCTCTGTTGGAGTTAGATAGCAACGTGGTCTTCCTGCCGAAGCGAATGACGGCAATTATAAAAGAAAACATAGACAACTACACACCCGGGAAATACGGGATTATCTACAGAGGTCAGATAGACTGCAAGAAAGCCCAACAGGGCAATCAGTTTGAGATTGTGGAAATGTAAATGCACTGACCGAGACCCCAAGGTAATTTTCAAACATTCTTCATTTGAGACAAATTTACGTATTTTTCACAAAGCAATTCGATGTGAGGATTATGATATAGGTGGTCTGAGGAAACTTCACACTAATATAGGGCATTTGAAACAAATAAGACTAATGATAAATCAAAAATATGTGGGTGGGGGATTCAAACCTGAAAAGAGATGTCATCGCATTCAATGGACTGATATTAATTCAATTTTCAAGAGCCGCGTAAGATCTGGTCTCATAACTAATTTAAAACATATAGATGTTAAACATTTTTTTCAAGATGCCTTTTTTCCATTCAAAGTTAGAATAAAACGAATTTTGAAATCAATGCCAACTATAAAAGTGAATACATGTTTTTGTGGATTATTTTCGAAAAATAATGTTGATCATGAGGTTTTGGACTATAAATACTTCAATACCAAAAATAATATCATAGATATGGGTGTTGATTTGCAACAATGGTTCGCAGATCATGTTATTGATAATATAACGAATCAATTGGAGGAATTTCAGGAGCGTGATAGTGAATGGGCGTTAGAAAAAATCATAAGTTTGGAGGTTAACATAAATAAATTTGAAATAGGTAATGGGTCTTCGTACATCGATTTACCTATTGAGATCAAACGAAAGAAGGCATGCATTAATATCAAAAATGATGATAATGCATGTTTTTGTTGGAGTGTTGTATCTGCTTTATTTCCATGTTATGAAAAAAATTCTGATAGGACTACTTCATACCCCAATTATGAAGATGTCTTGAATATGTCTGGAATGGAAGTTCCAATCAAAATATCAAACATTGCGAAATTTGAAAAACAAAATAATCTGTCCATAAATGTATTTACGTTGGAGATGAACTCGAAAGGTGCATTTATGATTGTACCAACAAGACTCACCAAACAGAAGGTAGTTACACATATTAATTTATTGATCATTCAGAACAAATATTTTCCACAGGAATGTAATGATAATGATTTTTCAAATAATAATGAAGATGATGAGCATGAAATTACCTATCATTATGTGTGGATAAAAAGTTTGTCAAGACTTGTGTCGAAACAACTTTCTATGAACACAAAGAAAAAGTTCATCTGTGACTTTTGTTTGAATTATTTTTGTTCAGTAGAACTTCTCAGTGAACACACTGAATTTTGTCAAAAAATCAATAAATGTAAAATTTCATTTCCAAAAGATAAAACTATTCAATTCAAAGATTATTGTCACAAGGAAAAATTACCTCTCACACTTTATTGTGATTTTGAATCGATTCTTAAACCGTTTCAAGAACCTAAAATAAAACATGGAAAAAAATCCAAGAAAAAATCATTCACAGACCGCTATCAAAAGCATGAAGTGTTCAGTGCAGGATATTTTCTCAAGTGTGAATATGACAATCGACTATCGAAATTTGAGAGTTACAGAGGTCTCGATTGCATGGAGTGGTTTTCAAATGAATTAGAAAAAATAGCAATTATTATTGAATCAAAAATCAAAGAAATCATTCCTATTGATGAATTTATTGATGTTCCAAAGTCTGGAAAATGTCATATATGTGAGAAAACCTTCGAAATACATGACAAAGTCGTTAAGGACCACTGCCATTTTTCAGGTAGATTTCGTGGCATGAGTCATCAATCCTGTAACCTTAATTACAGGAAGTCCTTTGTAGTTCCGGTTATTTTCCACAACCTGATGGGATATGACAGTCATTTTATCATTAAAACCCTTGTGAAACATGGAAAGGTGTCAATTCTACCTGTGAATAAAGAAAAGTATATAAGTTTCACAAAGTATGATTCGAATACCAAAATCAAATTCCGTTTCCTTGATTCATATCGGTTTCTTGGATTTTCTCTAGAAGATTTAGTTTATTTTCTAGAAGATAATCAATTGGTGAATTTGAAAAACGAATTCGGACATATTCAGAGTGATAAATTTCAATTGCTCACACGAAAAGGTGTTTTTCCATATGATTATGTTGATTCAATGGACAAACTCGAAGATGAAAAATTACCAGAAATTGAACATTTCCATAGTCGCTTGTATGAATCTGATATTGATTTGGAAGATTATAAACATGCTCAGAGAGTTTGGAATGAGTTCAACATTAAAAATCTTGGTGAATATTCGGATTTGTACCTGAAATCTGATATCATTCTGTTGGCGGACGTATTTGAGAATTTTCGTGATACATGTCACAAAACGTATGGATTAGATCCTGCGCACTACTGTACTCTTCCTGGTTATACTTGGAACTGTATGCTAAAGTACACATCATGCAAATTGGAAACTATCCAAGATGTTGATGTATTATTATTCATCGAACGTGGAATAAGAGGTGGGGTATCAATGTGTAGCAATCGCTATGCAAAAGCAAATAATAAATACATGAACAGTTATAACTGTGAAGAAATTTCAAAATATTTGATGTACTTTGATGTAAATAATTTGTATGGTTGGGCAATGTGTCAACCATTGCCTTATGGCGGTTTTGAATAGGTGGAAAATGTAGAAAATTTCAATGTCAATTCAATATCGGATGATTCATGTAATGGTTACATCCTAGAGGTTGATTTGAAGTATCCAGAAAATCTGCATGACCTCCATAAAGATATACCTCTCGCCCCCGAACATCAGAAGCCACTCAACTCCAAAATTCCTAAATTGATGACAACGTTGTACGATAAAGAGAGATACATAATACATTATAGAAACCTTAAACAGTACTTGAATCTCGGATTGGAGTTGAAAAAAATCCACAAAGTACTGAGATTCCATCAATCTGCTTGGTTGAAAACTTATATTGATCTGAATACCAGATTACGAACTGAATCGAAAAATGAGTTTGGAAAAAGCATCTTTGAGTTAATGAACAACGCAGTTTTTGGAAAATCTATGGAAAATATTCGCAAACATCGGAAAGTCAAATTAGTTTCAAAATGGGAGGGTCGCTATGGGGCGAAAAATTTGATAGCAAGCCCGAATTTTCACAGTCGAACAATTTTCGATGAAGATATTATGGCAATCGAATTGAATAAAACTAATATAATTTTTAATAAGCCCATATACATTGGTATGGCTATTCTTGATATTTCAAAAGAATGCGTTTATGATTTCCACTATAATTACATGTTAAGAAAATTTAATGAAAGTACTTGTAAATTATTGTACACCGATACGGACTCTCTTATTTACGAATTGAAATGTGATGACGTCTATGAAGAGGTTCTGAAAACTGACATTGACAAATTTGACACAAGCGATTATCTACCTAATAACCGATTTGGTGTACCTTCAAAGAATAAAAAAGTGGCTGGAAAAATGAAAGACGAAAATGCAAATCATCTCATGACATATTTCGTTGGTTTGAGATCAAAACAATACACATTTCTTGTTGAAGGTCAATTTGATGGTCAATCCAAATATATTGCTAACAATTGGCATATGGGTCAAAAATGTACGAAAAAGTCTAAAGGGGTCAAATATCAAACGGTACAAAAAAAAATTTCTTTCAAAGATTATCTAGAATGTTTGGAGAATAAAAGTCAAAAGATTGAGTCTCAGAGATGTATAGTATCTAGTGCTCATGAAGTTTTTTCAGTTGAACAAACGAAAATAGTCTTAAGCCCATATGATGATAAACGGTATTTACTAGAAAATTCAACTGATACATTACCTTGGGGCCACTATAGTATCGTATCATAATAATTTCGTATGTTATTTGTATAAACTATATTTATGTACTTACTGTAATTTGAATAAAAATTTGTGAATGAACAAACAAAAATATATTATGTTTTTTTTTCAATCATCATCATCATCATAGAATCATCACATAAAATCAACTTGTTTGATGGTATCATTGAGGAATGAAAATAACACATCAGTATTTTGAACAATATTTATTTAAAGCCATCTATCAATATCTCTTAGAACAAAATCCCTGTGATAATGAATTAGTTCACGCATGCAAATATTCTGTATAGTATCTTCAATGTTACATATAATATCGATAAGTGTTTCCCTAGAACACGTCAGTTGGCAATTTTTCAAAATATTCACTGCTACTGATATAACTCTATTATAAAAAAATGCAAATTCCATACATTCCAAAATTTTTAAACGATTTTTCACAATGAAATCACAATTGATGATCTCTTGAACGGTGGCCTCAGAAAGATAGAGAGACATCAAATCATTGGTTACTTTCACCATTTTCACATCGAAAATGTGAGATTTGATGACCTTGAAATCATGCCAGTGGAATTCTATATCGATCCCCTCATCCTTTACAGCACCATTGAAATATTCCTCATACATTCGCTTCAAATAAAATATGAATGTGTCCCATTCATTGCAATCGAAAGCTATATGATCATTTTTATCACATAAAACTGTTGTATTCACCAGTTTTACCGTTGGCAGGAACCACTTGGACAAATTCAGACCTGTGATCAACTTGAAAGATAGTGTTTTCAAGTCAGCAATCTGCTCGTTGATCATATGATTTTCCGATATTTCTTCTGGATATGCTACTTCACGCCATACTTCATCCCAATCATTGTTACAAAGCGGTGTTGATGTCATTATTTTTTTCGGTGATAGCAAAACACTCTCCTGATCATCAATTATTGACTTTTCCTTTTGAAAACACACAAAATATTCGAATTCGTTCACTGGTGAGAACATTCTCTCTACACGATGTTTTGATGAACTGATAATTTGGTGGGCTACCGCTATTATATAGGGGATGCTCGAACGGAAGACTAAACGATATCCCAAAATAACACCTAATATCACCAAAAGCCTTGATTCCTTAGAATTTGTGTTTGTATTTCATTTGTTTCCATTATAATTTATTTGAAGTATCTATCCAGCTGTTATGTGATTCATCGAATCCTAACCATTTCACAAGAACTTTTCGCCCCTTCTTTCTGATCACTTTCTCTACCAAAAAAACATCTGGATTCTTTGTTTTTTGCAGTTCTTCGGTGTAAAATCCCCCTTTGATTGGTGTTCCTTGCATATCCTCCAAAATGTACGTTGTAGGGTTAGTATTTCGAACTCGAACTATTTTGAATAATTCAGTAGTCCACTGGGGGGTGTAACCCTTCTGAAATACATGTTTTTCTTTGCTTATTCTAACTATGTCACCAACTTTGAATTTTCGCAAACCAGCCATTTTAATGTGATTGAACGCAGAATCCAGAATGTGTTTTTCATTAGATCTGCTAACATCACTAGGTTTGTATCCAGTCGTTGTGTGTTTCTGATTGTTATAATTTTTGGTTATTTCTGTGAGAATATCGATCCAATTGTAGGAGCCATTTAAGCTGAAATACTTGAATAATTTCTCTTTCAATGTTCGAATTACACGTTCTGCTATGGCTGCTTTCTTCACCTTATAAGTACTATAATGATTTATTTTGAACTGTTTCATTAGGCTTTGGAATTTGTGGTTATAGAATTCTTTACCTAAATCTGAAGTGATATGTGTAGGTTTTCGCTTACTCTCTATTAAAATTTCCTTCATAGCTTGAGTAACATCATCGGCAGATTTACTTTTGAGAGGTTTTGTCCACAAAAATTTTGAAAATGCATCTATAACCACCAGAATATATTTGAAATTTTTATTTTCTCGTGCATATAAGTCCATTTGAGCCAAGTCTATTTGCCAAAGATCATCAAACCCTTTGATAACAATGCGACGACGTGGAAAGTTTTTTCTTGCTTGCTTATGTAATTCATTAACCACTTGAACTTTTTCTGCGCTATGCTGCAACATGATTAGAAGAATAACTGAATGGTCTAGTCTTAGTATAAAGTGTTTTATATTCAATGTGATAGTTTCTTCTTCAGATTAGATTTCAAATCTGTAATTTGTTTGGAAATATCTTCGAGTTGATTCTTGAACATTGTTAATTCTTTCGTTTGAGATTGTTGAATTATTTGGGAAGCAGACTGAAAATCATTTTGGAACTTTTTTGAATCAGCCATGAGTTGATTATTGAATGTCTCTAACTCTTTCGTTTGAGATTGTATGAATATTTGTGAAGCAGTTCGAAAATCTTGTTGGATTTTTTTTAAGGTATCCATCTCCACCGTATAATTTTGTTCAAAGTCATTTAATTTTCGAGATGACTCATCTAGCTTTTTTGGTATATTCGATTCAATGGATTCCAAACGTTGTTTGACATCACCGAATAAAATCAAATTATTATTTTTTATTTGAACAATACGTTTTTCAATCACTTCCAACGCTGTATCGACTTCCTGTTTTCGTGCTTCCATTCCATAATTAGACTGATTGATGAGATTGGCAATCGAATTCTGTGTTGAATCAACATATCGTTTCGTCACACCATCAGAAGGTTCTTCACAATCCTTCAAATTATATAACCTAACATTTTTGAAGTCGATATTCCCATCGGGTGTGAATGAAAACACGTTTTTTTGAGGTTTAGAAGATTTGCACTGTGCATTACTATGAGATGTTCTTCCAAACTTGTCCATCTCTGAAATGATGAGAAATGATGACGACTCACTCTATTATAATACGCGCTTCTTTTAGCTCACTGATGATACTATTTATCTCATTGGTGTGTGATGTATTTCCAGCGATTTTTGAAGCCCACAAAAGTCGAAGTCTATCAACTAGTTCATTAAAATCATCCCAATAAACATACTCTATCTTATCATTATTGTACTCATTGAGACTCGACCCCTGATACATGTTGGAGGTACTCGCAGCCTTGTATTTTACCCCCTCTGTGAGTCCTTTTATGATGTTTCTGTACTTGCTCGATCTGTTGCCCTTATTAGGATTATTTACATCGTGATTTCTTTTATGAGCATTGGTCAGCAGTAATATACGTTTGTAATGATGCATGTCAGTTTTGAGATAATTTCTAGGGTCTTTATGGAAAATCAGCTCATACAAACCCTGAGTACCAGGAAATCTTTCATCTCCGATGATGATATCATCATTTTTAAGATCAAAATTCATTGATTTATTCCCAATCAACCACTGTGAAAGAATGGTATTATATTTAGGTCCAAATACTTCATCAACCAGTTTTTCATCATTGTATGCATCTAAAATGTACTTGTGTGTCTTCGTTGGATATTGATTCAGATATTCAGACATTGCCGGTGTATCTTGCAAGTTTTGCAATTCACTTCGAATATCTTCGATTGATTTTGGATTTTCTGTGAACACCGAATCATCCTCCTCTTTATCATCATCATCATCATCATCTTGCGTTTCTGCAATCGTTTCTACTGGTACAAACTCGAATGTCTTTTCAGGCTTCATAGGTTCTACAGAATCAGTTTGAATACCAGATGTTGTTGTTGATACAGCTGGTGCGTTACCAGATTGTGTGTGAGTAATATTAAATTTTGTTAGTGGTTTGAAGAGTCGTTCAAGAGATTCATCATCATCAGCTCTACCTAACTTCAAAGCTAAATATTTCTGACGAATTGCTTTTACCGCATTATCAATTCTACGTTTAATCTTCGCATCAGGTTTATCCTTACTCGGGTATAGCAAACCTTTCGGCTTTTCAAAATTGAATTGCTGTCTCATACTGAACCGACAATGATGACAGAACGATGAGGAATGAGGTGTCACTTGTCTAATGAATAAATATGTAGTTATCAAAGTTTTTTCGATATCGTCCGTTTTTCAGCTCAAAGTCCTTCATTATCACCAGAACATCATATTTGCTTTTCCAACATTCAGAACAAATGTCTTTGAACTTTTCGAATGACATATCTGTACCAACATGGTCTCCGTATACATGACGTAAGTTTGTATCATCCTGTTTGAATAAAACAATCATGTTTCCATTATCTCTTATCAGATGTTTGGGTATACGAGTATATGTCTGACAGAGATAGAAAGAGTCTATCAAATTGTGGCGACCCATGCTGAAGTATGATCGTATTTTATCTTGTTTATCACATGCCACATCATCAAAAATAAAAGTTGAATTCGTTCTAGCATCTGATGGATCTATAATATCATCATTGTCTGTATATGGAAAATATTGCACGCCCTTGACTCTGTTGATAACTGATTGTAACATCTGATATTTTGGTTGATAAAGAGACTTGGAATAAACGTATATATTTTCAAAACGCAAACCATTCGGATTGAATAATAAACTCAGCATTAGGTTTGTTTTCCCACAACCACTAGCTCCACATATTATCGCTCGTATCGTTTGTGGTAAAAGTTTCCCATGTCGAAATAATGAGACATCTCCACCGCTTATGAAATCCAAATTTTCTATTGGCAGCACGAGGTCTTGCTTTATGATCTGCATATTTACGAATGATATCATTTCATGAATCATCTCGGTTTAATACATAAAATGGGGAATATCAATATCGATCTATCAGTATCAATGCTGACGTGGGCAGGTGAAGGTCTACTCAACTCAGCAATCAATAAATTACCATTTGAATTGCATATTCCCACTTACAATTATTGTGGTCCAGGTACGAAACTCAGTAAAAGACTTGCTTCTAGTGATGAAGGTATAAATCCTCTAGACGCGGCGTGCAAGGAACACGATATTGCCTACTCAAAACATAGTTCATTGGAAGACCGACATAAAGCAGATTGGGAATTAGAAAATAAAGCTTGGGAGCGGGTAAAATCAAAAGACTCTAGCTTTGGTGAAAAGGCTGCATCTTGGTTTGTTACTACTGCCATGAAAGCTAAAAGGAAGATGGGTATGGGGTTAAAACGTAAAAGACAGGCTTCGTTACAATCAGCTGTATTGAGAAAACTGAAAAATACTTTGAAAAATACGAAGATCAGCAAGAATGGTGATCTGAGAAAAGCATCTATTTTGGCATTGAGGGCAGCTCGTTCTGCTATTGGTAAAGTTGGTGGCAAAGAAAATATCAAGATACCTAGAATCATTCCAATACCCCACAGCGGAGGTATACTACCATTGATACCGATCTTTGCTGCCTTAGGGGCACTGGGATCCCTAGCTGGAGGGGCTGGTGCAGTCGCGAAGACTGTGATAGACGCCAAAAACGCGAAAAAGAAATTAGAAGAAGATCAGAGGCATAACAGAGCGATGGAGATGATCGGGAAGCAGGGCTCTGGATTGTATTTGAAAAAAAATGCCCGTGGTGGTCTTGGATTGTACTTGAAAAAACAGTCAAAAAAATATTAAGTAGGCTACCCAAACGTCCTCTATTCGATACAGAATTGCGAAAATTTGCAAAAACACTGAAAATTAAAAATTTTAGAGGTGTATTTATGCGGGATACATTACCAAAATCACCTAAAGTTCGAGAATGTGCTATCATCAATACTGATCTGTCAACAGAGTCAGGAAGTCATTGGGTGGCTTACATAAAAAATGATAAAACAGTTTTATATTTTGATAGTTATGGAAATTTGAAACCACCGATCGAGCTGATAAGATATTTCGGAAGTGGTTGCAGAGTCATGTTCAATTTTGAAAAATATCAAAAAGACAATTCTTATAATTGTGGGCATCTCTGTTTGGAGTTTTTGAATAAAAATGATAATATGTTTCGATATCTGTCAGTATGTCTCGATTGTTCACATTGCGAGGTCGTTCATCTGTGCTCTCTGTGGATTTACTTGAACCAATCGAATTACAAAAAAAATATGATTATTCCTTAGCACTTATAGGATTTCATACATACAATAGTATACCTAACATTGATATAGGTTGGAATAAGTTCTATTATACGAAAAAAAACCAGACTAAACAACAATCTATCACAATACCAACAGGTTCTTATGAGATATCAGATATTGAATCTTATTTGAGAAGTTATCTTTTACCACAAAACCACATCAGTAGCGAGCTTGATGACCAGTATTTTTCGTTGAAGCCAAACAATAATACACTCAAGTGTGAAATCCGAAGTCAATATTATAATATCGATTTCAGACCTAGTGACAGCATTGGGAATATCTTGGGATATTCCCCCCGATTATTGAACTCTGGTGTTGACATTCACGAATCAGATCAGGAAGTTAGGATCGTCAAAGTGGAAACTGTTCATATTGATTGCAATATCACTACAGGGTCGTACTACAACGAAAAGCCATCACATACGATTTTTGAATTTTCACCTTCAGTTGATCCTGGATACGCCATTGACGAGCAACCAAATAGTCTGATTTATTTGCCATTGAACACAGATAGAGAAATTCGGAATATCACTCTAAATATTCTCGATCAAACCCCAACACCGGTGAATTTCAGAGGTGAAGATATTATTGTTCGACTAGAGCTCAAACAAACACCCAGATGGGCTTAGTATTCCAACACCGTTCGGTTACGAAACGGAATATATCCCCACCCACGATCACTCAAGAATCATTCAAACAGAGGCGTTACAAGAGATCGAACGCATCTAGACCTGGTGCTCTCACTCTATCGAATTATTTGTTTTTACGATCAATTGGGTATGATGCACGAAGAACTAGAGCTATTTAAAGATCCATCTTATGATAACAGCATCATCAAAGAAGAAGTTCGCACATACTACCCACATGTGAAATCGTTTGAAAATAGTGATGAAATTGAAATAACCATCTACCAACAAGATGCTATGTTGAAAATGCATGAGGCTGCAATTCTCGTCGAGGGAAAATTAGAGAAAACTGTTGGTACCGGAACCATCCAGTTCACTAACAATGCTGGTGCATTTCTTTTCGATTCCATCACATATGAATTATCTGGCAAAGAAATTGATAAAGTCAGAGATCCTGGTATTGTTAGTACTATCAGAGGATATCTCTGTTATCATGAAGAAGATTCAAAGAGTTTATGTATAGCAGGCTGGAATTACCCACTTAATACTTTGGTGACTCATCAGCCTACCACAGGTAACTTTTCAATGAGGATTCCATTGAGTCATATGATGGCAATATTCAATGACTACAAGGTCAACATCATTGGAAAACATACCCTTAGATTTGTACGTGCCAGAAATGATCTCAATAGCTATGTCGCTACAAATATTGACACTAAGGGGAAAATAACCATTTCCAATATCGAACTCAAAGTAGCTCAAGTATTTCTCAATGATCGTATAAAGTTGAATCTACTTGAAAAGATCAACAAAGATAAACCCCTTTTCATACCATTCAGAAGGTGGGAGCTATTTGAATATCCAACACTCAAAACAGGTGCCACAAAGGAAATTTGGACCGTTAAGACAGCAAGCTCTGTGGATTGTCCAAGATATGTCATTGTGGCTTTCCAAACTGAACGTTAAGATAGCAATATAAAGGATATCAATTACTTTGAAAATTTAGATATCAGCGATGTCAAATTGAGTCTAAATTCCGATTATTACCCATATGAGAGCATGAAATCTGATTTCACCAAAAACCAATTTCTAGGAGTCTATAACACGTACATAGCTTTCACAAAAATTTTTTTCAAAATTCCATTACTAGATTATGCAGCATTCAAATCTCGAACTCTTTACGTAATCGACTGTTCAAAACGAGATGAATCAATGAAAATGGGCACAGTTGATGTGAAATTGGAAATTGAATCGAGGTCTGGTTTTCCTCAGAACACTCGGGCATATTGCATAATCATTCACGATCAAATATTTGAATACTTCCCTCTTAGTGGTATAGTTAGACATATTCAATAACTTTGTTGAAGATTATTCTGTATCTTGTATTCAATGTATTCTTATATTCAATAAATAAATATTTAAATATGAGTTCTCATTTTATTTTTATTTCATCTCAAAATACAGATATTACACATCGTCCATTTTTTTATTACGAATCAATGTTAGAATGATGAATGTACTTTTTATCATAATAATAAATACAGAGCAGGTTATGACGTATAAATATATAAAAGCCAAGTTCATATTGTCTTTCATGTTGGTAAAGGGTGTTGTGTCACCCATCATGGCAATCGGGATGACTTTCGCTATGTACGTGGAATTCATGTATATGAAGTTATCAACTTCTGAAGAATTTCCATCTGCAGTATTTGTCGTAGAGGTGGTGGTGGTGGGGGGTGTGAAAATATCATGAACATTGTCTACGAGTAGTGCCGTTCTCCAATTATCCATATCACCTTCACTATAGTCCGGAAATACAAGCTTAAGTTTATACGTGAAATAAGACTTCTCTATTTTCGGTATTGGGGCCATAAAAACTGAAAGCCTGTTCTGATTCACTAATAACCCTCTCATAGGTGTCCATGCTGAGGATTCTCGCTCATCCACAGTGTCATTCATGTTGAAACAGATGTACATTCTATGCACCCCATATGGTTGATTGACATAGAGAATATTGTTCACTATCCCTACAAGAAGTACATAGCTTGATACTAATACAGCCATTTTCTCACTGTACTTTTGTGGGGGCATTTCTTTGTGATGTTGTAACAGGAAACGAACGTTCACGAGTCTCCAAGATGTTAGACCACGATAATTTGAGTTTTTCAAAATCTCTGAACATTGATGTCTTCTTCTCATACACAACTATTTGCTTTTTCACCATCACAATATTTTCGAGGTGTTTCTCAAGAACTTGTTGATCGCTAGA